TATTAGAACGATACGACATAATTTTAAAACAATTGATATATATATATATATATATATATATATATATATATATATATATATATATATATTGATATAGCAAAAAAATATTGATAACTGGGATAATGTCGTGTTCATTGTCGAGACATGGCTAAACGCCAATCACACGGTTTCCCGTTCTTGGACGGATGATACACAAGCGTCGACGTCGAAAGTACCAATGGGTAAGGGGGCCCGTCTGATAATAATGCCACGCAGGTTCTGCAAAATACGGCTTTGTGGAGAACGCGTTACTGGCATTTCAATTAAAAACCACAAATGACTACCACGAGGAAATGAATGCCACTACATTTAAAGAGTGGTTCCAGAACGTGCTTTTGCCCAGCCTACCAGAGCCTTCTGTAATATTCATGGATAATGCCTCTTATCACTCGGTTCAAATACAGAAACCACCTACCCAAGCTAATAAAAAAGAAGAAATGGTGGCTTGGTTACAAGCAAAAGGCATTGACGCAAATATGCAGATGCTAAAACCAGAGCTAATTAAATTAGTTAAAGAAAATAAAGCGGCAAATGTGCGATACGAAATCGATGAACTGGCTCTGGAGTACGGTCATCGCGTTCTAAGAATTCCACCGTATCATTGCCAATATAACACGATTGAGCTAATCTGGGCTCAAATAAAAGGTTACGCCGTCCGCCACAATACTTCCCCGCCATTCAGCACGAAAAAGATGATGACCCTATTAAAAGAAGCCTGCGGGGAAGTCACAAGAGATGACTGGGCAAAGGTTGTTGAGAAGACTAAAAACCTGATTGTGGAACATTTTGACCGAGATATCAGGATTGATTCTGTTATTGATAATAATATAATTATACATGTAGGCGAAGATGATGATGAAGACACCACCTCTTCAAGCGAATCGGAGTCTGATTAATATTCTGTACGCACATTCAATTCAATTCAATGTACTTTATTGCATAGAAATACAGATTGTAACTTTGTAACAAAGAATAAACAAAACAATTTTATTATATTAATATTACCTTTTTTTGGTTTCCACTTAAATTACTAAAATATAAATTTTAAATGATTCCGCCAATTTAAAACGAAAATAATCTTAAAAATAACGCGGCGGTTCATTTTGGAGGAACGGTAACGAACTCAGTGTTATGTTGTGCCCATCACTAGTCGTGACTAACTGATAGGTGTCAGGAACGCATTCTCTGAACGGCCGAACTATACGCTTCGAGCGGGCGACGACCTACGCGAGCGATACTTTATTTCATATCTCTATTCACTCACTCGCACTATGATACTGTGCGTATAGCGACTAAACGATCTTGATCTTCCATTATACGAGTTTTCTTAGGATGGAGTTCAGTGGATCTATCTAATTAGTTTATTATAATCTATTTGATATATGTTTCATTATTTATGAACCTTAGTGTTGAAATAAGTACACATATGTATTTTAATTGTTTTGCAGTAATCGATTGTTAAACGATGTTGGTTAATAATTGATTATACCTAGTAACGGTGGCATAATGGTATAAATAAATAAATAGTACGGTTGCAACCTGTTTTAATAAATAAAATAACCAACTGTACCTAACATTTTTTTATCGGTACTTACAGTCAATTATCACATTTTACTTATTATGAAAATATTTGCCGCACGGCCGAGCTTATCTCGAGTCATTAACTTCAGACAGTATACACTTTTTAAAAACGAGTTTAACCTGGGTAACATATTCAAAATCCAAAATTTGTCCTCTTTGTTGATTTTTAGAACTTAATCTGGGCCAGTCCATATGGCAAGCATGCAGACATTTTTATTCTTCATTATTATTTACCCAGAGATAGGATATATCTTTTTTACGTTCAGTGACAAATTGATACACGTTTTTATTTTTCCCTATTCCGACTGGTAAAAAAGCTCAGCTACAATCAAAATAACTATAATGAGTAAACTATCTGGTATAATAATAATGTGCGAACTTTATACTAATTGAAATATTTTATTTTTATTTTATTTTATTAGATTACCAACGATTGTTACACTAGTAAGGTCTTAATTGCTAAAACTTAGTATCTAGGACATAATGCACAATCACTTATAGGTAATCATCGTTTACACAATAAAACATTAAATGACATGACAAAGCTATAAACTAAAAGCTATATCTCTAAAATTTAGTGATTGTCATACAATGTACGTCAAGGATTTTGCGATGATCACAGTATTTGTTGTAAGTATGGCTGATTCTAGTGATCGGGAAATTTGATCCTAGCAGCGTCCTACGAAATGGGCATACTAGAGGCTTGATAGGAGCACGAGGTATTCTCCGCGGCACTCTAAAGCAAAACTTTGAGAGAAGTTCTGGACAGCATACATTGTTTATAATAATTTTATAGAAGAAAATTAGGTCAGTTACATCTCTTAGCTTGTCCAATGATTTCAACTTAAAGTATTCTAATGATTTAGAGTACGAATAGGGATTACTCAGCTTGCCAACGGAGTACGATAAACGACGTATGAACCTTTTTGAATCTGTGCGGTGCTCAGACTATGAGTTGCAAAATGGGGACGCTATACTACACTTCCGTATTCTAAAATTGAGCGCACTGGGTGCAGCCTATTAGTAGAGTAAAATTTTGGTTGCTGGTTTTCTGAAAATTTTTCCATTTCTTATTACGAAACCTAACATTTTTGATGCTCTCCGTATATCTGATATTCTGTACGAAAGTAAATACTTCCAACGATCAAAAAACTGCAATCATAGTTGAGTTCTATATCGGAACACAGGCCAAAATAGCAGGACCTATAACAGAAATCGACGTACACTACGATAATATCGAAACAAATCGGAGCCCGCGAAATAAAATGACACAGGTCAACGTTGACAACTGCTCGCGCGGATATGAATTCAGATGTGGCCGACATAGAGAAATATAAACGTTACTAAACAGTAACGATTTAAAAAGTAAAAATCATAGTATCATCATCATCATAATCATTACAGACCTTCACAAGTCCACTGTTAAACATAAACCTCCCCCAAGTAATGCCACAAAGCACGGTCCTGAACCACCTGCATCCATCGACTTCCTGCATGTCTTACCAGGTCGTCACTCCATCTAGTGGGGGGTCGCCCTACAATACGCCTACTGGTACGAGGCTGCCACTCGAGAACCTCACTTCCCCATCGGTTATCGGTTCTTCGAGCAATATGGCCGGCCCATTGCCACTTCAGCTTACTAATCCGTTGGGCTTTGTCGTTCACTCTGATTTTACTGCGGATATTCTCATTTCTGAGTCTATCATGCAGAGAAACTCCGAGCATAGCCCTCTCCATAGCTCGCTGAGCGACATTGAGCGTCCTCATACGGCCAGCAGTGAAGGACCACGTCTCAGATCAGAGGCAAGTGGCAACACGCACTGGTTGTACAATCTAGTTTTCAGAGTTTGAGGTATACCTGATGAGAAGATGTCGTAATTACCCGAACGCTGCACAGCCGAGTTGAATCCGTCGATTGACCTCTCGGTCGAAGTTGGACTTACCTAGTCGGACAATTTGTCCCAGGTAAACGTACTCGTCAACAACTTCGAGCATAGTGCTCCCAACATGTTCATCTTAGGTCCATGTTCATCTTGAGACCTATCCATTGTGAGACAGCATTGAGGTCATTGAGCATAGTGCAGAATTGCTGGAGAACCTAACTCCAGCAATTCTGCCATAAGGACTATATCGTCGGCAAATCGAAGGTGAGTAATGTACTCGCCATTGCTGTTAATACCGTATCCTTTGAAAATCATAGTATAGTTTAAGCAAATATTGATGATTATTTTGGTATAAATTTTACGTCAAAATTATGTAGAACTTCGGAGATATTGGGGCTTGTATCGAAGCTTTTTCGGTCGTTAATTGAATTATGTCGATTTTTGTCCTTACGTGAAATGCATGTAACGAAAATGTATTTTATCATTATTAAAGTATAGGATATTTGTGAGATAAAATTTATTTTTTGATGGTCGATATTCAATAGAATCTATAAATTAGAGCTCCCAAATCATGTCTTTCAGAGTTTTGGTCTAAATATGCATCGGGAGAATGATTATTACTAGATAAATAAATAAGTTATCTAAAATTTGCCTTGAGCTTATTGTAGTAGAGAAAAAGAACTATTTTTTACCAAGTAATTGTTATTTCAAGCAACGAACGGAAAACATATAATTTCAACGAGGAATCCTTGTAATTTCGTGTTTTTTGTAATACTCCTCAGTCTGACAAGACAACCAGCACAGACAAAACATTTTTGTTGAATATGCTGGGCCCGTGTCTGCGCTGAAACGCTCTGCTTGCGTCTGCTAGATGTGAATATATCTATATAGAGTGTATAAAAGAATATTATTTTGTCTGCCATGCCGTGTCTGGCACGCTCAATGTCTGTGGATCTGAACGGAGATTTATATTTAGTTAGGTAACCTAGTACACGTAGTGTTATAGTTTATAGTCTATACACGTTGTATATGGTAAAATTTAGGAAATAATTTTGTCTGTATTTTTTTATCTCATTCTGTTGTCAACTCTTTGGAACTCTCTTCCTTCCGAAATCATGAGCATCGAAAACCGGATTATGTTCAAGTCCAAAATGCGAGAACTTTTGGTCAATAAAATGGCAGAAACAAATTAGCGTTCATAGATAACCGTGTTTAACAATATTATATTTAAAATATATATTATAAATGTACGCCTATATATATGTTTGAGTTTATATATATGTGAATATTAATTTCTGTACTTCTTATTGCACCTACCTCTTTTATCTCTGCACTACTCTAAGGCAGACTGATAGATTATGTCTCTGGCATTAAGTACGCCTATATACATTTAATGTGTATATGAAGTTAATTAATTTAAAAAAAAACGAGGTGTCAAAAGATATTTATAAGAGTAGGTGCAGTATAAATAATAACTTATTAATTAACTATAATTACCAAAGCGTCATTAAGTGCGTCGACGAATTGTTCCTCTGGCAATTTGAGTAGTTCTTTAGCGTGGGAGTGTGTTGTCGACCAGACTAAGGAACTTCTAGTTGCGTCAAGTGGCAACAGGGCAATGGGACCTGTCGGCAGGAAGCGCTGCCAAGCTGTTGTGTTCTCCGTCGCCTGAAATTTAAATTTTATATAATAGTACACTAGTATATCCATGTTATGACTATAGTAGTTTATATAGCACATTTATAGCTTACTAGCTCCAATATCTTAAGAGGTAATTATAATGTAATTGAATCCTAAAAATATTTTTTTAGGATCTTAAGTGTTATAATCAATATTTTTAGTTTCGTTAGGCTTTTTATAGTATTGTGTGACAAACGAGCACACAGTCCACCTGATGGTAATTGGATGCTGTGGCCCATAGACATCCACATTTATCCTCAATAAAGAATCAAAATGCAAATGCGTTGTCACCCCTGAGGACTAAGATGAAATGCCTCGACTCCAGGAAAAAGGGTCTCTGGTTTTCTTCACTTACCATACGAAACATAGGAGCATTACGCTGCTACTTTTATTTTTTGTTCTATACGTGGTAGAGCCACGCTGCAGCTATTATGGTTGTAGCATGAATGGGTCGGCTCGACCGGGGAAGGACCATGCTCTCACGAAATACCAGCGTAAAATAGCAGCTTAATGCTGCCGTGTTTCGTATGGTGAGATTTTTTTATAGGATAGGGCGACAAACAAGCACACAGTCCACCTGATGGTAAGTGGTTGCTGAGGCCCATAGACATTTATATCTATCATCGATTTCAAATCAAAATCCAGATGCGTTATCATCCGTGAGGACTAAGATGGAATGCCTCATTTCCAGTAAAAAGGGTCTCCGGTTCACTACACTCACCATACGAAACACAGCAGCATTAAGCCACTATTTTACGCTAGTATTCTGTGAGAACGTGGTCCTTCTCCGGTCGAACTGACCCATTCATGCTACAACTATACTACTAATGTAACTGCAGTATGGCTCCACCACGTATAATACTTGTAGTGTGAGTGAGTGTAGAAAACCGCAGACCCATTTTATTGGAATCGAGGCATTCCATCTTAGTCCTCAAGGGTGACAAACGCATCATTTTGATTCTTAATCCGAGGTTAAATGTAGATGTCTATGGGCCACAGCATCTACTTACCACCAGATAGATTATCTGCTCGTTTGTCACCCTTATCCTATAAAAAAAAATTACGCTGTCGAGTCGACCCATTCGTGTCACACCTAGCTAGCACGTAAAAAGTATTAAAAGTAATGAAATATAATTAGAAAAAGATTTTTTTTTGATATTGAATATTGATAATGATTTTTTTCTTCGTTTTTTTATTTCGTCTGGGTGAGCAGCACCAGCAGAAAGAAGCATAAGTAAGTACCACTCGTACTTTCTTACGTATTTCTGCCGCAAAGCTGCTGATTTCTCAGACATGCAGTGCGTGCACGGCTGTGTTCCGGTCTGAAGGGAATAGTTACCCAGTATAACTACAGGCTTTGAGCCAGTCCATACTAGGACACGTTATCAGTAAAGAGGCTTTCCGGTTTCGTGTTACTCATCAAAACACATCAGTAATATACTGCCATTTAGGCTGATATCCTATGTGAGCATGTTCTTTGTCCGGTTAATTCGACTCATTTGTGCTACTGCCGTAAATATGCTGCAGCATGGCTCTACTCTACCAGAACATTTACCAGAATCTTTTTAAGGTAAAGTTACAGCCTATATAAGTCCCGCTGCTGGGCAAAGGCTGACTCTCATTTCTAAGAGGGATTTAAGGTAAGGAAATGACGGCCGCGCTGCCTCAATACGTGTTGGCGAACTTCACATGTCTTCGAAATATTGTTTTTCTTATTTCTCAGACTTGCAAAGTTCCTCACAAATTTTTCCTTCACCGCCGAGCACGTGGTAAATCAGCACTAAAATTGCAATTACTTAACAATTTCATTGGTGCCGGCGGGGATCGAACCCGTAGGGACGCTCGCGTACTGTGAAATTTATTAACAAAACGAGCGCTTAGCGCCTGAGCTACCACGGCTCTATACGTAACAAAATTACAAATATCATGATATGCTTAAAGCGGAGTGAAAATCATCTTACTGCAACATAAATAATTGTTTTCACACACTCTATTGTGTACCTGCCCTCAAAATCGCGGTAAATGAATCTTCTTACATTTAGATTTATTGAGAGCGTATTTTAGTATACGTTTAAGATACACAAACGAGACTTGAAATCACATCCAGTACGTAAACAAAGATCAGGCAAGTTTACCTCAGACAAGTGCAACGTAGCCACTACACCCATCTGGTCGTAGTTCCACGACAGATATTGCACGCCCATTGCTTTGCGGACGGCCGAGTTTGCGCCGTCAGCGCCGATCTGAAATAACAAATATGTATTTAAAAAAAATTTAAGGAGATAATATTAAGTTTTTAAGTGGTAGAACCATGCAGCAGCTTCATTAGTAGTATAGTTGTATCACGGATCGGCTCGACCGGGGAAGGACCGCACTCTCAGAGAATACCAGCGTCAAATAGCAGCTCAACGCTGCTGTTTTGTATGGTGAGTGTAGAGAACTGGGGACCCTATTTACTGGAAAAGAGGCATACCACCTTAATCCTCACTGGTGACAACGTATCTGCATGATTCGTGATCGAGGATTGATGTAGATATCTATGGGCCGCAGCAACCACTTACCATCAGGTGGACTGTATGCTCGTTTATCACCTTTATCCTATAAAAAAACCTACTTTATTTTTTGTGATGAAGTTTTTGGGAGTATGGTGTGCCAGGAAAGAAGGCGAAAAACATTTTTTTTTAGTAAAAGAAACTCATGTTGTTACCCAGTGGAAGGCTTCTTAACTACTTTAATCGCCAAAACTTAAATAATGACTCCGTGGCGCAGTGGCTTAGAATTAGTTGCAGCGATAAGGCAGGCGGGTTCGAATCTCATATGGAACAAGTATTTGTATGGCTTACAAATAATTGTTCTACAAACACTTGTTCCTGGTCTGGATGTTTGTTCTTGTGAAAATTTATGTATGTCTTTACGATTACGTAATAGCGCCATACTGCAGTTATATTAGTAGTAGTTGCTGCATGAATGGATCGACACGCTCTCACAGAATAAATACATATAGTAAGTGTAGAGAATCTGAGACCCATAATTTACTGGAAACGAGGCATTCCATCTTAGTCCTCACGCGTGACAACGCATCTGCATTTTGATTCGTAATCGAGGATAGATGTAGATGTCTATGAATGGGCCACAACCACTTATCAACAGGTGGACAGTGTGCTCGTTTGTTACACTTATACTATATTAAAAAAAAGTTCTAATTGCTTCCACGATACTACAAAAATTGTAATGTGAAGATAACGTTTAAAAAATATATTATCGAGTATTACTATTATATTAGTTGTTAGTAGACCCTGACAGGCTTGGAGCGCGAGTAGAAAGTCCAGCGAGTGAGTGGCGAGTTATTGATAATGACAATATCAAAATATACGAGGCATTCCTTTTAAGTTTGTCCCAGCCTGTCGTTTCCATATTTACCGGCAATTTTGAATTTGGAACTGTTCAATATTCAAATTTGTTTAAAGTCAGAATCTCAAAACAATTGAAAGTATGAGGATTAATGCTATTTTTTAGTTACAGAGTCGTTTTGAATCTGTCAGGTCACGTATGAAAATAAATCTTACTACTTAAGGGAAATATCCGTGCAATAATTTTCTACAACTTTCGAAGAGGTCTAACACGGCTTCTGTGTTTCGAAGAGCTAACTTCTGTAATCCTTGATGTAGCAAATTCCAGCGTGGACATACCAATCTTAGTGACAAGGGACTTAATTTGCCGTTGGATACCGCATTTGCTTTAAGACGATCGTAAGGCGACCTGCGTCAGATGGTGTAAGAAAATAGTTCAAAGGTTGAACCGAGGAAAATTAAATCACATCTACGACATAATCAGTGGTGACGAATCTTGGGTCTATGCCTACGATCCCGTTTCTAAACAACAATCTACAATCTGGGTCTTCCAATACGAGCCCAAGCCGACTAAAGTTGTTTGCTCTCGAAGCACTTCAAAGAAAATGGTGGCCACGTTTATTGCGAAAATCGGTCATGTTGCGACGATTGCGTTGAAGATCGTAGATCGGTTAATGCAGAGTAGTATACCACAGTTTGTTTACCACAAATCATAGCCGAACTTCAGAAATCTAACCCAAAGCAACGCATCATCCTACATCATGACAACGCAAGCTCACACAGTGCTGGTCAAACGAACGAGTATTTGAAGCAGGAAAATGTAGACATTCTTGACCATCCTCCATACTGTCCTGACCTAAGACCCCAACGATTTTTTTACATTTCCTAAATTTAAGAACAATCTTAGTGGTCAAAGGTTCCAGTTCCGGTGAAGAAGCAGATGACGCTTTCAAAGCAGCCATATTGAACACCCTCCTTTGGAGTGGAATAAATGTTTTATAACTAGTTCGAGTGAATGGAAAAGTGTATTAAACTACGTGGTGAATACTTTGAAAAACAATAAAAGGTACTATAAGGTTCTGGTTGTATTTTTGGTCAAACGACAAAACTTAAAAGGCAAGCCTCGTAATATAATAAATGTATCATAAGTTTCCTAAAAACAGCTGAAGATATTTACTTTCAACACGTATAATATTTGGCCTTGTCGCTCGGAAAGTTTATCAGAAGATGAAGGTATAAACAGAGGAGCGGTAGCAGCCGTAAATCATATCCTTTAAAAAAATAAAACAGAACAAGTGCGACTCGGAGTAAACTAATTATTTATGTTAGTTACTTCATCCATCCCTGGGATCGTGTTTCTACGATTTTTGCATGGTTTCGATACGCATACATTAATACCCTAAATTAACGAAGATAATATTACTTTTACTTTCTATAGAATAGGTACGTGTAAACATTGCAGATAAGTAGATACCATCATTTTAACTGAAACAGTTGACTTACTATGATCGTAGTGCTATTATTTATTCTGTGCTATAATTCATACATTAAACAACTTACCAGATTTTTTCACCCTGTAAGAGGGGAAAATGCTCAATTTGGTAAAAAAGATTTCAATTTTTTTCCGGTGACAAATTAAATTTTTATGTTTTATTGATAGTTATATTTTAAAGAAGATCGTGTACTTTTTAATAGCACAAAAAAAGCCCGCAATTTTTTTTTCTTCCCCGCCCCCCCCCGCAGCCCAGGAAAAACAACAAACCCCATATTTTTGTTTAATTATTATAAATTGATATTTGTTCAATTAGTTAAAGCTAAAGTTCTATGCAGTTATTATGGTAAATGGTCACTAAATCGCACTATATCAAATCCGGGTATTTCATTCCTGGAAACCTTACCATGATTTTCTTCCGCTTTTCTATAGCACCTATATTTTTGTCATTAAAGACGTTGCAATATCCAGTTTTTAAAATAAATACTATTATTGAAGTTCTTCGCAAAACGATATCTTCGGATTAATTTGACCAATCCTTAAAAAATTCTCACGTCTTTTGAAAATGCTCCTAACTTATTGGCGTTTTCAAGTTTAAAAATAGCATCTTGGAAAGGATGTTTGCTCACTGAGAAATTATATCGTGGCGTTATTTTTTTTAAAGTGGTCATATTTTTATGACTCTTTCCACGGCTAAACCAAGAGATAAGTAATCACGTAGCAACATGTCTTACATTTTCTTCCCAGTGGATCGGGGTATCGTGTACTGGTAGTATAAGAATGTCCACTACTCCATATCATCCCGTGGCTGTCGTAAGAGGCGGCAGCGAGAAACAAATCAGGAGATAGACAGCAGCATCTTCCTAATAACGACTAAAAATAAAAACTGCGGTTACCCAACCCGCTTGCCAAGCGTGCCAACTATGGCAAATATTCCCCCTATGAAGCAATTTATCGGGGAGGCCTACGTTCAACAGTGGACTTTAATAGGCTGTACGCGGTAACGGTATCTTATTTGCTTCAAATGGGAATTGCAAGTTCGCTCTTTGTTTCGCAGATTTCCTGAATCCAATAAAGTTGAAATACAGAACAGTCTGTCCGGCGAGACATTAAAAATTATGCCTGAAATACGAGACGTCCCGGGAAATACGGGGCGACTAACAGACGTAGGTAACTCATAAGTAAGTAAGCGCCGAATATTGCTATAACTAAAAGATAATTCAAATTAAAGGACAAACTTTACTGAGAAAATAAGTCATCACTCATGATTGAGATGGGCTCAAAGGCACAATGGACATGCACAAGTAATGAATGAAATTCGATTCAATGTTGCAATTAGCAAGCCATTTTCTAAATAGTTTTAGAAGCACTATGAATTACACACCTAACGATAATGTTTTAGACAGAATCCGACCAATAAAGTACTTGTTTATTGGTCGGCGGCATGAGTTATACAAGACAACAGTGTAACATATAAATCAATGGTCGGCGGAGACAGATGATTAAATAAAACGTAGTGCTCTCTACAAAGATAGAGATAATAATACGAATTCATCGAAATTGGGTGCAAACTATTACAAAGATTCTAAGTAATGGCTGCTAGCCCTGAGTTGAACTATTATTAGAATTTAACAGAAACAAAGCGTAGATCAGATGGAGAAGGGGCAGGTAACTAAATTTATACATTCTGTTAATTTTGTAAAGTACTTAATATTAAATTATGGATGCTCAAAATATGTTTCATTAAAAAAGAATTAACGGAAAGTTATATTGCCGTTATAAATAGTAGATTTATACTTTAGCGTGCATTACAGCTGGCGGCGTCGATGCGACGCCTTTGCAGTGTACTACATAATTATAAAAAATTCGTGACATGGTAGGTACACGGTATTTTACAGAACCAAGGACAGTGCACCTGATGATACGTAGATGCTATGATTCAAAGCCTGCCTATAAATAGATTAAACAGCTGCAGAGAAGCTATACGACCCTGAATTTCTTGGGGACCTATTTGAACGCCAAACTAGTCTGTACCCCGTAGATCCTGACACAAATACTAGTTTCCCATAAATAGCTTTTAATGCCTGCATTAATCCAGCGCTTAACCCAAATAATTTCATTGTTTGTCATAAAGCAAACCTGTCCACTCATATCAATGTCAATCATAGACCTTGTCAAAGTCTAAAAATGTATAAAAATATATCCTCGATTGAAAATGAAAGTGTAGCTACGTTATACCGTTGTTTAAGATGTAATAAGCAGTAAAAGAGGTCTTCGGTTCTCATCTTTCAAGACACAGCTAGAGTTCTTACTTCCGCTCGCGCAGATTCTTTCCTGCTGCAGTCTTAGAATATTTCGGCGGGGCTGTACCACATACGACGACGTAATACATTATTTTTATTTCGATGTAATGTTATAAACAATGTACTTCAAATGTCTGGGCAGATGTAGTTGCCTATATCTACCACCAAAACCTAGGCTTTTTACTGGTTGACCTAAGATACAGGTTTTACCTAGTTTAAGCAGCAGTTTTTCAACTATCAATAATATTGTTTCAGATATAGGCACATATTCTTTGTTGCTCACTTTATGTATATGGTTGGTAGAAATAAATAAATAAATGAAGCTTTTCATTTTAGTCGTTTTGTCAGAGGGGGATTTCTAACCTTAAATTTATGTAGGAACACCCTCAAAATGTTACCTATTAAATAGAAGTGATAAAATTAAAAGTTTTGTACAACCGACTTAAATATAAATAAAATGAGAACATCTTCAATGTAGTCGAAGTCAATTAAATACGCATTATTAAGGATAACTCAAAAACTACTAGTCAAATCTTCATAAAACTTACATGGGACCACGTGCGAAAGCACCAGCTTTCAAATAAAAAATCATTAAAATCGATTCACCTATAAAAAGTTCTGAGGTAACACACATAAAAATATAGTCGAATTGAGAACCTCCTTCTTTTTTGAAGTCGGTTGAAATAAATTATAATCGGTTCAGCCATATTCGAAAAATCAACGAACAAAAGATATGCATACATAAACACTCACGCCTGTCACCCAGATGGGTAGGCAGAGACTACAGCCTTCCATTTGGCACGATCCTGACACACCTCTCTCGCCTCTTCCACATCCATGTACCTACGCATATATACTCGTCGGAATTTGTTTTGCCGCTCTTTCTTTATTAATTCTTTCTACATGAACAAACCACCGAATCATTCCTTCCTTAATCCTCGTCACATCATCTTGCATACCACATTCTTCTTTTATTACACAATTTATCACCCTGTCACTCAGATTCAGCCCTAACATACCCCTTAACGACCGCATTTCTACCGCGTTTATTCTACTCTCATGGTTATTCTGTCATTCCCAACTTTCACTACCATACGTTAAAGTAGGCATTAACACAGCATTGTGAATTGACATATTATGTGCCTTTTTTGACACATTATGACTTGCCACAATAGAGTGTAGAGCCCCATTTACTCTATTTCCTGTAATAAAAAAGATATGCGTCGAATAAACAGTTTAGTTTTTCTACAAATCGACTTTAACAAAACTTAAAAAAAAAAACAATGACCGTAACTTCCGTCCTGGTGCTTCTTCATTTTAGATTCACACAACTAAAACAATCTATAAATGATTCAGTAGTGTAAATAAATAATCGTTAGAGTTTTATATAATCTTTACTTAAGAAACCACCTGAATCTAGAAATACGTAAGAATCGCGGCCTTTTGCATTTTCTTAAAAGCTCTGATTATTTATATTTGCAATGTGTACAGTAGCGGGCAGCACGATTTGTTACAGTGGTTAAGTGGTTCTCGACAATGTTACTGGCGTGCCCGCCAGCCGCGCTTTCGGTGTTTAATGTGTGACTAAATTTGTGCTGAAAATTACTATCGTAATATCAATAACAAAATTTGACCATTTTTAATGTGTTCATTTTTAAATGTTAAGTCTTATAAGTAAATTTACTTTAAATAGATGAAGAAATAAATATTTTCACACCGTGGTAGTACCAAAATTATAAATATTTTGGCATTTTTCTTTATATTTGACTTATATATTTTATAGAATGCGTGCGATGTGTGAATTCATTGGTCATATGTCATAATTTTATTCGATTTCTTATCATATGTTATGGATAAAAGTGAGATTTTTTTAAACATAAAGGTAAAATTCAAATCGCAGTAAAAACTTTACATTCGAATGCGCAGAGTATATACCTATCAAATATGTTTCCCAGTGTTCCTTAAACGATTTATCATTAGATTTATTTATACAGGTTGCGCCAATCGCTTCTAGTTTTGTATGTTTACTACAATTAATTTTAAATGAGATAAAGGGGTTGTAAACATAATATTATGTAGGGACCTGATTGAAACTGATGAATTTGGTGATGGCTTTGAAATTGTATTGTAAAATTATGATGTAAAATAAATTGTGTAGGGATCAATTTATAATATGATCAATTATTGTACACCTGTAATTGATATTAAATCATTATTAGACCTTATATTATTAAATCCATTTGTGTGAAACCACCCAGTGTGAAAATGGTTTCCACTGGATAGAGATTAGAGAGACGATTAAACGAAACAAGGAACAAGTCGATTAAGGAGCCGACAGATTACCTGCATCTACGAATGATTATGGTAAAGCATTGATAATGACGACCGATTTGTGCCGATGTGTTGTGTGAACATTAACGAGCACTATAGAAAAGTAAACGCGATCATAATTGAATTTATATCACCTTAATACTGTATTGCCGGTGCAGGGTTGCCTTGACGAGTATATTTTGTGATATTTAGAACTACTATACTAATATTTAATAATCGCAGCGCGAGGTGCAATAAAAATGGGGAAACGTGACGCCGCGTCGCACTTTAGGACCAAACGGTGCGTTCCATCTCTAAAATCTATAACTTTTTTGTTTCTAGACAGTTTGAATTGAATTTTTGTATACGTATTCCTGAATACTTATGCTATTAGATAATTAAAACATCGCCACTTTATAAACCATATTTATTTAATGAAAAAATGACAAAACTAAAATTTTAAAAGTTTCATACAAAAATTAAATAAATAAATAATTGATTAAATAAGTTCTCACAGAAATGCTATAACCAAATACTGATTATAATAATTACAACAGATAAGAAGTATTTTTGTTTTTATCCTTTTTTATCGTTAGTGTGGTTAGAATCATGACCGTAAAAAAACTTGTGAAAATATTAAAATACCTGTCATATTTTGTGCTGACTTGTTAAATAAAAGTTATTTTATTGTAAATAAACAATAACAAGTATTTTGTTGTATCTACAAATGTTATAAGTGCAAATAAGGAGAATTGTCAGTTTATTTTTTCCCCTCGGTTGACATTTTTGCTTCTAG